TTTTGAAGATTTTCCGTGCATTTTTAAGCCAACTGTACTCAGATTGACGATGTGTCGCAGTGCTCACAACTTTTGCAATGTGATGATGGTTCCGAAACTTTTTGCATCCTTACTGCAAATATTCGTAGTATAAACTGCAACTTCGATCTGTTATTGGCTTTTTTATCGGCACTTGATAAAACAATAGATATGATAGTTTTAACCGAATGCTGGTCAAGAAAGGATATCCATCCCCCAAATATAACCGATTATAGTGTTTATTACTCTAAAAACCTTTTAAACCAGAACGATGGCATAGTGGTATATGTTCATAAGGTCTTTACAGTTATTGCCTCTGAACCGGTTTTAATAGAGGGTAACTGCCTTGTACTTAATGTTGATGGGTTTTCGATCATCTGTTCATATCGGCCACCTTGTTACGCTAACCCTCGACGATATCTAGAATCGTTAGATAGCTTATTACAAAAATACTCTAGCAGGAACGTCATATTTACAGGTGATATAAACATTAATACGATGTCTTTTGACATTCAAAATAATCAATTACACGAATATCTGTGCATATTAGCTACTCATGGCTTAGAACAAGGTGTTACACACCCAACGAGGCTTAACAACTGTCCCGATCACTTTATGATAAAGACGACTGAAAAATGGCAAACAATGGTTTTTCCACCATTAACAGATCACAGTCCTATCCTATTACAAACAAAAAATACTCGATTGTCGAAGACAAAAAACACACACACCAAACAGGTATTAGACTACGCCCGAGCGTTAAATAATCTAAGTGTCACAGACTGGTCAAACTATTTTATGTTGCATGATGTAAATCAAACTGCGGAACATCTTGTCAAAATTGTTACAAATATCATTAACGAGTGCACAAGCACTAGGTACATATCCAAAAAGAAAGCACCTCTTAAGCCTTGGATTACGATAGGCGTTGTGAGATCAATTCGCAAAAGAGATAAGTTGCATAAAAAGGCCAAACTACGACCGAATGATGATACAATTAACGCATATTATATTAAATATTGGAACACTTGCAATAAAATAATAAAATCTTTGAAGCAGCAGTATTATCAAAGAGAACTAATAAAAAGTGAGAAAAATATTAAAAAGACCTGGAATGTGATAAAGGACATATGCAATATGAAAACGAAAAACGAAGTGCCCCCAGAGTTGCTTAAAATTGGGAGCACTACAAAAGAATCGCTAAACAAAATTAATACCTACTTTACAACTATTGGTAAAAGTCTGGCAGATATTATCCTACAGAAACTCAAAAAAACGGAGCTCGAATTAGCAAGGCAAGCATCTGTGCAATCAAACTTCCAACTTCACTCTATGTCTTTCGCACCCACAGACCCTTATGAAATTAATAAATTAATAAATAAAATAAAATTTGATAGTGCACCAGGTTATGACGGCATTCCCACTAGTTTTGTTAAACTAGCAAAGGAGTACCTTGTTTATCCAATTACACACCTTTGTAACCTTAGTTTAGAACAAGGAATATTTCCTGATTTATTTAAAATGGCTATCGTGTCTCCAATTTTTAAAATGGAGGACAAACAAGATGTCTCTAACTATAGACCGATTTCTATGCTGTCTACCATGTCAAAAATTGTGGAAGGATTGGTCAACAGTAGACTGATTAGTTATTTAGAAAAAAACAAACTGTTAACTGATTTTCAGTATGGGTTCCGCAAAGGAAGATCGACTGATGACGCCTTATTGAAGTTGACATCTTTAATTCACAAATATGTTGATAGAGGTGAGAAAGTCATTGGCGTTTTTCTTGACCTGAAAAAAGCTTTCGACACAGTATCAATTCCGATACTATTGCCAAAACTAGAGGGCTTGGGTGTCCGCGGTCATGTACACCAATGGTTCCGGAGTTACTTGGCGGGTAGACAGCAATACGTCAGAGTAAATAATGACCTGAGTGATGCCTCAACCTGTGTATTCGGTATACCACAGGGCAGTACATTAGGCCCGACTCTCTTCTTGGCGTATATTAATAGTTTTCCAAAAGCATTAACATCCAATACGGATGTACTAATATTCGCTGATGACACAGTCTTACTATTTCATGGTAAGAGTTGGAAACAAGCACAAACCTTTGCAGAAACCTGTTTGGAGAATGTCTCAGCCTGGTTAGAGAAGAATTTGCTCACATTAAATATTTCAAAGACCAAATACCTCTGCTTCTCGAGATCTGCAACTTCAGGTCCAGCTCAAGACTTTACTATAACACTACATTCTTTACCATGTAATGGAAAGCTTACTAGCCAATGCAATTGTAGCACATTAACCAGAGCCAAATGTATCAAATATCTAGGTGTTCAAGTAGACGATAATTTGAGCTGGAAAGAACAGATCATTAGTGTCTGTTCTCGGGTTAGAAAACTTATATATATTTTCAGATAGTTAAGAACAGTCGTTAGTAAAAAAATTCTTATTCAAACTTATAAAGCGCTCTGCCAAATTATCATTAATTATTGTGTGACGACGTGGGGTGGCGCGCCGAAAACAACAATGATTCAACTTGAACGTGTGCAAAGATCAATATTAAAGGTATTAATGCATCTAGCATACCGACATCCTACTAATAAAGTCTACAACGAGACTCAGGTACTCTCAGTTCGCAAGTTGTTTATAACTCAAGCTCTCCTGAGATACCACCGTGTAACTGCCTATTCACTACCACGAACCAGTAAAAGAAAATTACGGTGCCCTATACCCACTACCAAAACTACCGTTATGCAACGACACTACAATTTCATAGCTCCATACATTTATAATAAAATTCCCACCGAGAATATTGTTAGCCTTATAACTCTAAGCACCAATAGATTTAAAAAATATATACTGAAATGGCTACAAGATCTTGATTATGTCCAAACTGAAAATCTTCTTACAATATTAAAATAAAATAAAATCAATATTAAAATTCTACTATTAAAACACGCACATACACATAGACAAACATAGACACACACACTCACACACATACACACACGCGCAAACACACACACACACACACACACACACACACCACATTAAACATTACCTAGCAGTAACCGCCATAAAATAATATTAATTAAGGAATAATGAATCATCTTATGTACTTACCGAATATGGACTTAGCACTAAGAATTAGGGAAGGCACTGTTTCCTGAGATACAGGTGATAACCTAGTTCAGGAGACAGAGCTTCTTTGTATCTAGAAAAATTTGGTTGCTAATAAACGTTATTTTATTTATTATTATTTATTATTTTGATCATTAAGTTTGGTTTCATATTTAAAGTGATATTAAGATTCTTGTAGTTACCTGCATTTATAATGATAAATGCTGGTAGTATAACCTCGTCGTTTAAGCCAGAAAGGAAATAGTTTGGAGCACAGTAGGTAGACAGCGCAGCAGATAGATAGTTTGCGTTGGGACAAAAGATTCTGCTATGGATTTGCAAAGCAGAATCTGTAGTTTTTTTTTCAATGTTGTACAGTACAATGTATTTATGACACCTTTTCCACATTTTTAGGAGTATTATTTAAAAAAATAAAGTAGACGGGCACATTGCAAACTACTTTGAATATTCCAAAATAAATAGCCAAAAGTAGTTTCATCATCATCATCGTCTTAAACAGTCCGTAAAAATCCACTGCTGGCCAATTCGTCTCTCCCGTTGCTGGAAGGACTTATCTTAATCACAGATATATAGCTCCGATAACAAATTTTACTTTAACACTTAGCAAAACTACGTTCATGTAACTTTAAAAAGTGTGTCTATGTCGGAATAAAGCCTCAAACGTGAGAACATAACAAACATTTCTTAAAAACATTTCGTGAAAACATTTCTTACGTGGTAGAGCCATGCTGCAGCTATATTAGTAGTAGGTATAGTTGTAACACGAATGGGTCGGCTCGACCGGGGAAGGACCACGCCCTCACAGAAAACCAGCGTAAAATAGCAGCTTAACGCTGCTGTGTTTATATGGTGAGTGTTTCTCTACACTCACCATATGAAACACAGTGACCCATAGACATCTACATCTATCCTCAATAAAAAGTCAAAATGCAGATGTGTTGTCACCCGTGAGGACTAAGATGGAATGCCTCTTTACCAGTAAAAAAGGGTCTGCGGTTCTCTACACGCACCATACGAAACACAGCAGTGTTGAGATGCTATTTTACGCTGGTATTCTGTGAGAGCGTAGTCTTCCCCGGTCGAGCCGACCGACATTTTCAAAATATGAAAGCATGCATATTGATCCAAAATGCATATCTGCCACACTTCTTCACACATGCGCATCTTCTTCAAATTATGTCACGCCAATCTTAAAAAAGGAATGTCTTTAAATATCTACTAAAGCATATAGTTCTTAAAAGGTGACCGATGGAAACTAACAAGGAGATGGACAGGAGTGCCTTCCTGTGCGTTCCGTGTTAATAAAAATTAGAAAACAAAAAAAAACTGTGTTTGCCAACGCGCCTGCTCAGCGTGGCAAACTATGGCAAATATCCCCTTTAGGAGGCGGTTTATGGTGAAGCCTATGTTCTGCATTGATGTTAGACAGAATAAATGAAAAAAAGTGGATTAAAAAGGCAGAAGAAAGAGATTACAACAGTTAGTAGACGTGGTAAAATGATGTAAAACTCCTTGTACTTTCCAGAATCTTTTATGTTATTTAAAATGTATGTATTCGTATTATGATAAATTAAAGCAGTCAATTCTCTCGGTAGAGAGTAATTGTGTTCTGTGAGTCAATCTTACTCTTATTACTATTGGTATTACAAGTACATATTACTATCAATTTCAAGAAACGGAATTAGCCACGTGCAGTGTCATTCTTTAAGGTTTGTTTACGTTCTGTTGCTGGTTTCAAATGGGAAAGTACCGCTTCAAAATGTCGCCTATAAATATGCAACAATCGGCAGATAATTTACACTTTATTTTCACATATTGTACTGCATCGATCACAGTAAACAATGACTAATATATTGAGTTATCTCACATTAATCAATGTGATTAATGTTCACTTTTATTTCGTGCATGGATTCCGGAAATCAGAACTGGATAGTTCATACAATGGTAAGTTTAAATCTTTACTTAAGTTTTAAAATTATTTTATACAAGAAATGGTAACAAAATGACAACACCTACATGTTAAATGGATACTGTGGCCCATAGACACCTACTGTATGTCTTCTCTTGGTTGTAGTGCCTTACTACTAAATATAGTTACATATCAACGTAAAATAGTAACATAATTAACGCTGGTGTTGTTCTATGAGAGCATGGCTCTTCCGCGGTCGAGCGGTACCAGCCTACAAAGCTTCAGTGGGGCCCCCATATATACAAACTAGTAAACAGACTAAGTTCTGCAGCTTATGCTGTAAAAAAGATTAGAGGTCTCACTAGTGTTGAGACAGCTAGATTAGTTTATTTCAGTTATTTCCATAGCATAATTTTTTGTGGGATTTCGCTTTGGGGAAAAGCGGCTGATTTAGAAACTAGTTTTGTTTTACAGAAGAGGGCCATTAGAGCTATTTACAACCTAAAACCGAGAGAGTTTTCTAGAGAAAATTTTAAAGAAATAAATATATTATCTTTGGCCTCTCGATATATTTACAAAAATTTAATGTATGTTCACAAAAACAAAGATAGTTTTAGTAAAAGAAGTGATATACACTCTGTAAACACTAGGAATAAATACAAGCTAGTCATACCAGTTTCTCGACTTCTCAGAGTCAGTAATTCATTCTTGGGGCAATGTATATGCTATTGCAACAATGTCCCAGAAAATATACAAGGTCTCTCTATTACCAAGTTTAAATATTTTATTAAACAAAAACTATACTTATAAAAATGGTTATTATGATATACATAAATACATGGTTGATAATAACCCCTGGGAATGAGGTAGTCGCTTCCAAGCTGTTTCGAAAATAAATTTTGTCAATAGTTTGTACAACCATTCATGTAAATCTTAATTTTAAAAACGTTCCGCTGGGTTTCTTGCTGGTTTTTCGCAGGACAAAGGTTTTTTTCGAAGCAGTGGTAAAGTAAAAAATGACTTTCAATAAGAATTACACATGTGATCTATATTGAAAAAAAAAAACCATTGTACGCCATAAACAGCTTAGAGCGGCTCCATAAATTACGTTTTTGGGCAATGAATCCAGCTTTCGCAATTTAAATATATTAATATACTAAGGCATTTTGTGATGATTTTTTTATAGGTGAGGGGGCAAACGAGCATGCGGCTCACCTGATGGTAAGTGACTACCACCGCCCATGAACAACCGCATCACCAGGGGAACCAGGCGAATTGCAGATGCGTTGCCAGCCTTAAATCTGGCAAATCTAAATAATTTTCTGGCCTGGCCACATAGCTCGAGGAACCGACAACTGATGGGGAAGTAAGGTTCTCGAGTGGCAGCCTCGTACCATCAGGCGAAGTGTAGGGCGGCCCCCACTAAGTGGAGTGACGACCTAGTAAGAGATGTAGGAAATCGATCGATCTCTTTATTATTCTCCTTAAATAATGCAGGTTTAAATTAAGAAGTTGCCGTGTGGTGTCTGTGTAAAATAATCCATAAATAAATCTTAAGGCTTCCGATAAATGGCACTTTATATATATTACGTTTACGGCAGGCGTAATATACGCAGACTGGCGAAGGACGACAGCGTCACATCACAGGTAACTATTAGTTAATCTATGGTTAAAGATATACATCATCTGCTACTGAAATCTTCAATTCACTTGCTAATCGTGACAATTAAGGTAAACCCAGGGAGGGTTTACAACGGGAGAAGCCGATGAGAGCGGGATTAAAAGTTGTTAAAGATGTAAAATGAAAAATATAAGGATTAAGTACTTTGGTTAAGGACGCATAAAGTACCGCTGATAAAAATATTTCGGGATTAAAAATTCAAAAATAATAGACGATTTCTTGATGTATAATTATGTATATTTTTAAATATGTTTTCTATATTATATGTAATAATAATGTTATGTATACATTAAATATTTTTTACAACCGACTTCAATATAAATTATTAAGGATAGCTCTAAAACTACGGATCAGACCTTGATCAAATTTATATGGGACCACATGAGAAGCACCAGCTTTCAAATAAAAAAAGAATCATCAAAATCAGATTACCTAGAAAAAAGTTACGAGGTAACACACATAAAAAAAGTAAAAGAAATTACAATCGAATTGAGTTGGTTAAAAAAGAGTAAATAACGCAAGTATCTACTATCTCCACAACAGCCCAGATATTTCTCAATCTTTATGGATTTGTCAATAGATTTATAAGTTTTTGTTGTCTAAATTTAATCATTTTCATGAAGTGCAATTATTTATTTACATGTCTCTATTTTAATCAGGTCTTAGCTATCCATTTCAATACTTTACACGCGACGAATGGGAAGCAGACCCCCCTACAAATGTTAGACCTCTAACCAAACCTGTACCTTACGTGGTCATCCATCATACCTACATACCGAGTGCTTGCAACACCACCGAGAAGTGCTTCAGAGCAATGAGGTCCATGCAGAACTACCACAACAGTTTAGGCTGGGGGGACATTGGATATAAGTAAGTTTTATCGACTATTAACATTAAAAATTTGCTAAATATTAGAGAATGGCGTAGTAGAATAAAACAGTTACATAGTCCTTTGTTTTTAAATTATGTTCGTTAAATATTCTACCTTACATATTGTATTTGGATCCTGATTTTTGGAACTCAATTAATGAAAAAAATATAAAAAACAAACTAAAAAGGATTCTAGTGAGTTCTTTGGATAGAAAATATTGCGTAGTTATACGAATAGGTAAAATAATACAAAGAAGAGAGAAAATCTTGATCTAATAGACGGCGCTACGGTCTGATTATTATCAATAAATTAAACTGTATAAATTTTCGTGGTAAGCGTATTCACATAAAGTCTCTGCGTACGTAGTACGTAGTACGGTGTGATTGCAAAGGAGAAGGAAACGTCTCCATACATTCTTAGGCCCAAGTGTTAACAAGATGAAAGAGAGCATTTGAAAGCGTATATATAAACAATTCATAGCTGAAAATCTGGTTAGATTTGTCAATCTAGGAGCTGAGTTATTGTAGAATAACTAAAAGTGAGATTATATATTACCTACACTATAACAGGTGATTTTTCACTGTTATTACACTGTAATAGGCTAATTTTCACTATAATTACTTAAAGATATAAAAGCAGGATCAGTATCAAATCACAAAAAAAGCTGTTGGTTAATAATGAAACGAAATGGTGAAACGATTAACGTAAGTTAAAACAACAACTATGTGAAGTGAATATTAGGGATATCGATCTGAGATCGATTACTTGAATTGTTGCTGTAACTGTTACTTGTTGGAATGTTGATATTTAGTATTTTTTATTATTATTTTGTAGATATGTATGCAATTATTTTTTTATCTCCTTAACACAGAAAAATAATTGAAAATAGATATTAAAATGCTCAATTTAATCGAGAATAGATTTTATTGCGCTCGTTTTAAATCGAATCGAAAATCTGTCTTTTTTCTTTTAAGTAAATAGTTTGAAGTTTGAACTGTCAAGTTTCAAAATAAGAAGTCCTCTATTGGAAGATAACGTTCAGAAACGAAGATTTCACCAGTGTATTCTTTATGGTAATCAATTTATTGCTATAAATAATACACTACAATCGATTTTCTAACTTATTTCTTATTTTATTGTTTTTTCGAATTCTAGATTGTAAAAAGAGCAACTTTTTTGTATTTTACTTTATAAAAATATGGCCATTTTTTTTGAAGTATAAACCAATTAGTTAACTTTAAGCCCAAAAATCCTATTCTCCTTTTGGCTTTAAACAATTAACATGATGTTCGTATTGGTATAGCGAAGTCCAAGCCTATACAAAGCTGCGAGAAAAAACTAATATAATATAAACAAAACCTCATTAAGATGCAAAGGAATCAGTTGTTGCGTTGGGGGCTGCGGGTTCGAATCCCGCACGGAACAAGTATTTGTATGGCCTACAAATAATTGTTCCGGGTCTGGGTGTTTGTCCTTGTGCAATTTATGTTTGTAAACTGCCTCCACGACACAGGAGAAAATCCTAGTGTGGGGGTGACGTTTTTTAAGAAATAAAAGTTGAAAAAAAAAGTTGAAAGTTGAATGAGATTTTATTAGATATAGGGAAATGCTAATTATGATCTTGTGATACATTGCGGTTTAACCAACCATCCATAATTTATACTAGATTTATAAAAACTCGATAAGCGACTAGGAGCAGTATACAAAATGCGCGGCACCTGGAACTACAATCGCCAATCTCCCTGCTAAACGAAATGATTATAGCAAACCCACCAATAGGAGAAAATGAACACCGACAAGAATGACAACCGACTTTATTATAGTTTTATAGTATATATTATTTTTTAGTTACTGCGTCGGCAGCATGGGTGACGTTTTCGAAGGACGGGGCTGGAACAATGTGGGTGTCCACGCCGGGCGCGCCAATAATTTTAGCATCGGCATCTGTTTAATTGGCGACTGGAGAGGTATTATACATACATACATACATAAACACTCACGCCTGTCACCCAGAGGGGTAGGCAGAGACTACGGACTTCCATTTGGCGCGATCCTGACACACCTCTCTCGCCTCTTTTACATCCATATATCTACGCATACGCGCTCGTCGGTTAAGGGTACTCCTAATCTGGCCCATTTTTAATGTATCGCCGATTTGGTCGATAAACGATTTGGTAGAGGTATTATATTATATATTTTCTTAACTTCTTCAATATATTGTTGAGGTATCGTAACTCAGTGGGATAAGTGTTCGCCCAAAAATTTCAAACTTCCTCAATATATCGTTCAGCCGTGTTAGGTTAGTGGGCTAAGCATTTGCCCAATAATTAATAACGTCGATTGCGATCCTCGTCGGCATCAATGTATTTGTTAATTGCAAATTTAAATACTGGTTTACTTTTTTTTATAGGATAGGGTGACAAACGAGCACACAGTCCACCTGATGAAAAGTGGTTGCTGTGGCCCATAGACATCATACATCTATCCTCGTTTGCGAATAAAAATGCAGGTGCGTTGTCACCCGTGAGGACTAAGATGGAATGCCTCTTTTCCAGTAAAAGGGTCTATGGTTCTCTGCACTCACCATACGAAACACAGCAGTGTTAAGCTGCTATTTTACGCTGGTATTCTCTGAGAGCGTGGTCCTTCGCCGGTCGAACCGAACCATTCCTACTACAACTATACTACTTATATATCTGCAGCATGGCTCTACCACGTATAGAGCGACGACTACATGGTGCCTACATGGCTACATGGACTGCGTGCTTGGCGTTGAAGGAAGAAGGGAGTAACCTCTGTACTGTGAAGAACCATCAGGAAATACGGCGGGTCTTTTTTAAAGAATAATTTACAATGTATTATGATCTATAATCCACATAAAAAAGAACAATATTGAAACAGTATTGCAGCGATCACATCAATCCCAGGGGTGGAGCATTCTTTAATAGTTTAACAGCCCTTTTAAACAGCTTTTTCTTAATGAAAATTGTAAAATCTTTGATAGATAGGCCCTGCATACTCTCAGAAGAAGACTGGTGTCCAGTAGTGGGTGTAGGTAATTTCTACTTTACTACTATACTTGTCAACTTTACATACTTTATAAAATTCAGCAAACATTCGCTTGACAGCACTATGCTGCTGAGCTAGCCCTCTCAAATAGAAGGAAAGATCTTTTATCGGCACGATTAGCATATTAACAATAACAATTTTTTCAGTTGTAATACGAGATATCTGGGGTTTATGACAGCGAAAGTCAGTTTGTGTAGTATTATACACTGAGACTTTCTGATTTAAAGCCAGATGCTATCCGTGTTTGATTATGGACTATTTACGGACCAATGGGTGAAAAATTATCTGCCTTAACTTAAAATATAGCGTGGCAACTTAGGAAATAAAAATGTCGTAGTGCTCGAATCAACTGAGTTCCATCAACACCAGCACCAATTAAATAGTTAATTTTAATTTTATGTCTTGTTTTACCACGTACTTGGTGGTGACGGAAAACAATGTAAGAAACGAAACGAGCACATAGTCTACCTGATGGTTGAAGAATGAAAATGAAGATGCATTATCACCCCCTTTGGTCTTATATGTATTAAGAAGTGTCTCGTTTAGAATAGAGGTACGTTTTTCTGATTCCTGTCACATAACAACCAAAACACCATGTAGTCACCGTATAGTTATGCTGCGTCTATATTATTGTAGCACGAATGGGTTGGCTCGACCGTGGAAGGAGCACGTCCTCACAGAATACCAGCTTAATGCTGATGTGTTTCGTATGGTAAGTGTAAAAGAACCGAAGACCCTTTACTGGAACCACAGCATCCACTTTTTAGCAGATGGTCTGTGTGCTCGTTTGTCACCCTTATTCTATATAAATACAATAGTATTGCGTTTTTGTTTTATGCTGGTATACGCTGGTATACTGTAAAACCAGGGTGTTTCCCCGGTCGGGTCGACACATTAGTGCTGCAGTACGTCTAGTACTATTATTTATTCTATGGCTGCAGCTATAATACAGCTGTAACATGCCTTTACCACATTTCTGGCGCCTGTACTTAAATAAGTAATAGGTAATTAATTTAATAGGTATAGTAAGTTTTGCGTAGTTAATAACTTCCTACAACGTTTAGAAATTAGGACCATTGATAAAATCGGCCAGGTATTATATCACAATTATAACTCAGTTGTAAATTAGATTTTTCTTACAGTGGCAACTCCACCCGAACCGATGTTGGAGACAACAAAGAAACTGATATCTGTTGGTGTTGAAAATGGATCTATCAGTCCTGTTTATAAGCTAGTCGGACATAAACAGACAATGACTACCGAGTGTCCAGGCTCAGCTCTCGCTAACATAATTTCTACGTGGGATCATTACACAAAAGAAATCTTAAAATTTTAAAGAAAAACTCAATGTCATCATTTTAGTTATTTTAAACCAAGTTTTTGTAGTTACAATATGATATAATTCGATCTTGTAATTATTTATTAAATTTTAGATTTTAAAACTACCTACCTCGTATCTGTATGAAAGGCAGTGCAGCTAACTATTCTTATGCTATTTTGGGTTTAAGATAACTCAGGGGTTAAGTGATCGCCTAAAGTTAATACAACGCATGTAAACCAACTTCGATCTACGTCGGAACCACTGAGATTTCTAATATTCATTTTAAGGACTAATCTACCTCGTGTTGAACCGTGCAGGGACACATACTGAGGAAATCTGCATGTATTAGAGTTAAAAAAATTAGAGCATATGAAAGCTGCCAACACGCATAGTGGCAGCGGGGCGGGCTCTCCCTTGCCTTAAACCACTGCAGGAAGGAGAGAAGACGTGTATGGGAACTATGTAGGCTTACAACAGATCTGGTTCCTCCTATTCTACAAATTTAAATACCTTCAACGACGGTACATCTGTTATAAGACATATTAACGTCATGAGTTACGTCATCCCATTGCGTTTAAAAAAAAAGTAAATGAATAATTCTCTATGGAATGGAATAAATGACCATTTAATCTTGTGCCCATGCTGGAGCGACGAAATTAGAATCACAATCTCCAAACACTAAAAAGTAGAGACGCCACAAATAGTCATTTTGCTGAATAGCGAATACGGAATATCCGACCACACTCTTGGCCGAAGCAAAGAACTTTCGGCCTCCAAATATTCGGTGCTTCGGTCGGCAGCAGTTTCTGGAATCGTTTTGAGTAAGTCGCTGTAGCAAATATGGACAAAATAAGGATGTGTATAAGAAAAATCCTGTTGCAAATGAGATTGATTTTTATCTAAAAACGGCTCGCCTAGATCTGAGAGCAGACCCTTAGAAGTGGTAATCAGCAAACTGCAACAGTTTCCAAGACTGATAGATTTCGCAAAAAATATCTATAATAATAATAAATTTAAAAAATAATATAATATAAAGAGGCTATTTTCATAAGCGGATATAGTTTATGAAGAAAAGCGAAATCGGTAGCTTTTGATACTATACCGATTAAATAAAAAATTGTTTTTATTCATCACAACTTACCTCTGCTAAATTTTTAGCATTCATTGTAATAGTTTGTTTTTGTTATATTTTAGAGTAATATGTAATATATAAAAATATAATATGTTTTTTTAATACCAAAACATTAAACAAACTTACCGAATAGGCCAAAAACCGAGAAAGTGAATATTTGTGGCATCTCTACTAAAAAGCTTTGAACTATGTTCATCATGAAATATCAATCAGGAAACTACAACATTGTGGTGTTAAAAACATTGTGCTTAGACTAGTTATTAAGATATTATGTTAAAAATAAATAATTTTATCTCTTGCTTTATCTTCATCCCCATGGGTACCACTGTTGGTCATGGGCCTCTCCTGTTGTAGAAAGGAATTTGCCTCAATCAAAGCAATGGTCGACGGATTCGACTCGGTTGGGCAGCGTTCGGGAAATTACGGCACATCTTCTCGTCAGATATACCTCAAAACTTGAAAAGAAGACTGTACAACCAGTGCGTGTTGCCAGTGATGACCTATGGTACTGAGACGTGTTCCTTCACTGCTGGCTGGATGAGGAAGCTCAAAGTCGCTCAGCGAGCTATGGAGAGGGCTATGCTCGGAGTTTCGCAATAGAACAAGAGTGACCGACAGCCCAACGGTTTAGTAAGCTGAAGTGACAATGGGCCGGCCATATAGCTCGAAGAACCGACAACCGTTGGGAAAAAAAGGTTCTCGAGTGGCGGCCTTGTACCGGCGGACGAAGTGTAGGGCGTCGCCCTACTAGATGGAGTGACGACCTGGTAAGATATGCAGGAAGTCGATGGATACAGGTGGCTCAGGACCGTGCTTCGTGGCATTCTTTGGGGGAGGCCTATGCTCAGCAGTGGACTTGTGAAGGACTGTAATGATGATGATGAAAGCAATGCTCAATGCTGCTGTGTTTACGTATTGTGAGTGTAGTTTCTTTACTGGAAATAAGACATTCCATCTTAGTCCTCAGGGGTGACAACGCATCTGCATTTTCATTCTTAATCAATCTATTAATCTGTCTATGGTCCATAACAGCCACTTACAATCAGGAGTACTGTGTGCTCGTATGTGACGCTTATTCTGTATTAAAAAAATGGTGTACCCCCATCTATCGGCTAGAAGATATAACTAGCATTACTATAGTCGCCTTTTACGACTCCCACGGGAAGAAATGTGGTAGGATGGATACTCTTACGTCACCAAAACACTAATAATTCTTAATATTCTGAATATCTGTGAAGCAACATTGGAGAAGAATTTTTATTTACGGTGGCATTAAAAACGATTTTAATTATGCAAGTATTTTTTTTTTTATAGAATGAGGGTGACAAACGAGCACACAGTCCACCTGATGGTAAGTGGTTGCTGTGGCCCATAGACATCTACATCTATCTTCGTATGTGAAATAAAATGCAGATGCGTTGTCAGCCGTGAGGACTAAGATAGAATGCCTCTTTTTCAGTAAAAAAGGGTCTCCGGTTCTCTACACTCACCATACGAAACACAGCAGCATTAAGCTGCTATTTTACGCTGGTATTCTGTGAGAGCGTAGTCACTGGTGAAGTAGGTTATTTAGTGTTTAAGATTTACAATGTAAGTAAAGTTAGTGTTAAATGGATATTATATAACAAGAAAATTCATATGACTACATCAGTAAAACACAGTTTTCTTGTTGGCCCTAGCCCTTAAGTTTTTATGAAAGGAGCAAAACAATAAGTTCGCGAGCAGTTCCCGAGCGAAGCACGTAAGGGTCGAATGCAAACAACAGGGAAAAAGGGGCGAACTACTGTAGGACAGTGAAAGTCAAGTGAGCAAGATACGCGAAGGTGACGCAGGACTTAGTTTATTATATGCGGTATGGCGTTGTTTTATAGTGGTAGAGTCATGCTGCAATAATATTAAGGTTGTAGCAGAAATAGTTGAGCACGAGCGAAGGACCATGCTCTCACAGAATATCAGGGTAAAACGGTAGCTTAATGCTGTTGTGTTTCGTATGGTGTGTGTGTAGAGAATTGGAAACTCCCTTTACTGGTAACGAAGCATTATTATACCTTAGTCCTCAGAGGTGACAATGCATTTGAATTTGAATTTTTAATCTAGGATAGATCTAAACGCTTATGGGCCACAACATCCACTTACCATCAGATGGACAGTGTACTCGTTTCTAAACCTTCTTCCATAAAGAAATATGAGACACAGTTACACTTGGTTGTAAAATCACACTTTTTCTAAAGTTGATGTAAGACGATGATTGCTTTGGAAATATATTTTTATATTTTTTTATAGGAGAGGGGACAAACGACCATACGGCTCACCTGATCGTAAGTGACTACCGCCGCCCATAAACAACTGCAACATCAAGGATTTGTAGGAGCTATAAAACTGAAGTGACAAACGAATTTACAGTTCAAATGATGGTTAGTGTTACTGCTGTTCATGAACATCTGCGGTCAACTTCAAACAAAAAAGGTTTTACTTGGTAGAGCCATGCTGCAGCTATATTATGGTTGCAGCACGAAGGGGTCGGCTCGACCGGGGTGGGACCACGCTCTCACAGAATACCAGCGTAAAGTAGCAGCTTAATTCTGCTGTGTTTCGTATGATGAGCGTACGGAACCGGAGAACCTTTTTACTGGAAACGAGGCATTCCATCTTAGTCCTCAGGGGTGACAACGCATCTGCATTTTGATTCATAATCGAGTATAAATGTAGATGTCTATGGGCCACAGCATCCACTTAACATCAGGTGGACTGTGTGCTCGTTTGTCTGCCTTATTCTTTAAAAATGGCTGCAGATGCTATCAACTCTGAGGAATAAGATGAAATCCTCACAGCCAGTAAAACTATTGGCCCTTTGTACCCGTAATATTTATTTGGCGTCATATTTAACGAATAACTCAGACGGACCCCTAGGCAGAAAATGATACAACCACCTAATAAATCTATACGTGTATACCGTTACAGTTAAAGCCTCCAGGCCAAGACTGAGGCCTCTCTTATAGATTGCCTCATGGGCGGGATATTTGCCAGAGTTGGCAAGCGAGTTGGCAACTGCAGATTTTATTTTTAGTCGTTATTAGGAAGACGCTGCTGCCCATCTCGTGATTTGTTTCCCTCTGTCGCCTCTTACCACACCCACGGGATGATATGGGGTAGTGGATATTCCTACACCGCCACTACACGGTACGGTTTATTTATATGTACGTCTATACATATAAATAAAATTGGTGTCTGTCTGTAATATTGAATATCTGCCTTTCTGAGTTGAGAGGATATTTGCATGCATTTAAAACATAAATAACGATTTCTTTTAATTTTGTCTGGCTGTCTATGCGAGCTAATCTTCTGAATGGCTGAACCGTTAGTAATGAAACTTAACGAACAGGCAGAAAACTGCTAGGAGTGATCTACGCTTTATTTTATCCAAAATAATTAGAGACAATTTTTTGAGACTAAAAATTTAAGAAATATATTATGATCTTTGATCTTTATCTTAAATCTAAATAATACCCCATTAATAAATCTCACTCATGCGAATCTGGGGCGTGTCGCTAGTATATTATATAATTAAAAACTTAACATTTGTGCGCAAAATACTGACGATTTGCAAACGCACGACAGTTATGATATAGACGATATTATTTGTAAACGGTAATAGATTAGGTACAATTTACCTCCAACACAAATTGACGGAAGGTCAAACCGTTCTTACTCCATTTTTATTCCAAGGTCTTCTATACAGCAAAATTAACCGATTTGAAATAAAAAGAGGTCTTCTTTTCAGTAAAGTCTAAATAAACAAGCATAATGGTTGAAACAATGTCTGTCCGTAATATTGAAATAACATGCTTTTATGCTCAGGCGGTTTTGCATGCTCTTAAGAAAG